AAAAAAAAAAAAAAAAAAAAAAAAAAAAAAACCTTGTCCCAGGTCACATGATGAATGAAACCATAAAAAGTTTAAAATGCTATTATTTAAAATTTATTTTCTCATAAAAAATGGTTCCTGAAATGATCATAATTTGAATAACTTACTCTATAGTTATAATACATTATGCCCTGGTCCCGGGCCAGGTCCGGCAGTCCCGGAGCCTCGCGAGATCTCTGTCAGAGCCAGCGCCCTGCAGCCCTGCAGCCGCCGTCACTGTTAGCAAGTCCTTCTTGGGCAGCTCAGTTCTGTGTCTGTTCCAGTTTGCATAAACTTGAAACTCTGCCTGCAGATCATCCATTTTATATTCTTTCTTCTCTGCTCCTAAAACTGCATTTCTTTGTGAAGCCATTATGGAGGTATCAAGGTTTTTAAAAAGTGGACTTATTTTTTAGCTAAAGGAAAGTGCCTGATGCGGCTGGAATCCTCCATCTAATGTCCCTTTCGTGCTTCATCAGTGAGTTTTTTCTTTTCTTTTCTTTTCGTTTTTTGGCTGCGCAGCTTGTGGGATCTTAGTTCCCCGACCAGGGATCGAACCTGGGTCCCCTGCGGTGGAAGCACAGAGCCCTAACCACTGGACCTCCAGGGAATACCCTCATCAGTGATTCTAAATCTTCTTTGGGGTCCCCTCTCCCCCAAGCATGTCTGACCTCAGAGTCGTCCAGAGTGCTCGGAAGCAGGAAGTCTTGGTCATAATTTACTGACGAGCGTTGATCCTAGAGACCTTCAGTGTTCCTGGCACAGGGTGAGGGTGGAGGTCACCACCTGACAGGGCTGCAACTCTGCTAATGACAGCGGGAAAGCATGGGGGTCCCTGCTGTGCACGCTGCTAACCAGTGGGCCTTACCAGATGCCAGGCACTGTGCTGGGAGCTGCACCTATCCATTGTTTCATGAACTTTTACAACCATCCCGTGGGAAAGAAAGCGTGTTTGTTTCTGAAGCCTGCTGTAACAGATTACCACAAATTTAGTGGTCCCAAAGACAGACTTATTATCTTACAATTCTGGAGGAAATGGGTCATCTGGGGTTAAAACCAAGGTGTGGGAAGATTTGTGTTCCTTCCATTCTTTCCAAGGCTCTAGGGGAGAATCCATTTCCTTGCCTTTTCCAGCTTCTCAAGGCCACCCACTTTCCTTGGTTTGTGACCCCTTCCTCCGTTTCCTAAAGGCAGGAGCAAAGCATCTTCAAATCTCTCTCCCTGGCCTCTGCTGCATCCTAACACCTCCTTGCCTGGTTCCAATCCTCCTGTCTCCCTCTTGTAAAGATTACATTGGGCCCACCTGGATAATCCAGGCTAAGCTCCCTAATTCAGGATCTTTAATCACCACTGCAAAGACCCTTTTGCCATGTAGTCACATAGTCTCAGGTTCTGGGGATAAGAATGTGTACTTCTTTGGGGGCCGTTATTCTGTCTACCATTGAAAGTACCATTATTAGTCTCACTTTACAAATAAGGAAACTGAGGCGCAGAATGACTTATCCAAGGCCACACGGCTGGTGTGGAACATTTGGAACTCGAACCCTGTTTGTCAGTGTTTGGTGTGTCAGACTCCCTGGCTTACCCGTTTGGGTCAATGTGTTCCCTTTCTACAATGACTCACTCTCCCCTAGTGGTGAGTGGGTACCTGTGCCTCCCAAACTCTCAGGGGTCCTGGGCAGTGCCTGCACTGAGTAAAATTCTCCCACGTGGTGGGTTCAAAACCATGGGCTGTCGGCTTCAACGCTGAGCTGCGTGGCAGGGCCAGGCTTCAGAAAATGTTCTCCATCCTTCAAACCAGGAGCTTATCGCACCGGAGCTGCCATTAGCCTCCACCCCAATCCCCATCCCTATTTGCTCTGTGCACCTGGTGGGGTTTTGTTTCCTTCCTGGTCCACGGACCAGCAGTATCAGCCTACCCGGGCGCTTGTTAGAAATGCAGAGTCTCTGACCCCACCCAGGCCTGCTGACCCTGAAACCCGGTGGTTCACCTGCACGTTAAAGTTTGAGAAGCAGGGTCTGGAGGACTGCACTCCATCTGGGCTGTTCTCTCCCACCTGCCCTGCAGGTGTCTGGGGCTCTGATGCCAGCAGCTTGGGAGGAAGCATCGGGGAAATGTCTATGCTGCTCTTTCTGTCTTGGCTTCCGTGATTTGGCAGTGGAAGAGCCATCGCCTGGCAGGACTTGGTGAACCCTGCAGCTAGGTTGGGGCAGTGTCCATGGCCAGCGTGTCTGGGGGCCCTACCAGTGCCTCCCACTGCCGCCCCTCTCCTGGCAGTGGCTGGACAGCTGGCCGGGGCAGTGCTGGGCGCCTGGTTCCTCCTCTGTGCACCAGCCTCGGCGAGAGGCAAGGGTGTGTGTGTGTGAAATGACTTTGACCTTGGTGTTTGGTCTGATTCCTCTCACAATGAAAGGGCTTCAACACGTTGGCCTGCACGTTCTGAGCACCGCAGAGTTTTGGCATAGTGGCTGATAAGTATTTTTAGTTCCTTCCTTCTTAGTGTTTGCCAGAAAACCACAGTCATTACTCATGAGCGGGGCAAGCTTATCCCTCCCAGCCTCCAGGAGAGTTGGGCTTGCCCTCAGATGCCCACTGAGGGCCCCCTGCCCTGGGCTTCCCAGCCGTTTCTGAAATCAACATAACGCTTACACCTACAGCAAAGCACAATGTGGTATTTTTAAACAGAATAAGCCCATAGCTTTAAAAAATTAATTTATTTTTAAAATTGTAGTAAAATATACATAACATAAAACTGATCATTTTAACCATTTTAAGTGAACAGTTCAAAGGCATTAAGTACATCTCGTTGTTGTGCAACCATCACCACCATCCATCTCCAGAGCTTTCTCATCGTCCCAAACTGAAAGTCTGTTCCGTTAAACACTAACTCGCTATCCCCCCTCCCCCAGCCCTTGGTAACCACCCTTCTACTTCCTGTCCCTACGCGTTTGACTCCTTTAGGGACCTCATGTGAATGGAATCCTACAATATATATCCTTTTGCAACTGGCACGTTTCTCTGGGCATCGTGTTTTCAAGGTTCATCCGTGTAGTAGCATCCTAAGCTTTTAAAAAAATCACTCACCTAATTGATAAAAGTAATGCTAAATAGAAGGACAAGTACGCTTTTTCTTTTAGGCCAGTAGCTTTTTTTCTTTTTTTGGCTGCACCACGCGGCACATTGGATCTTAGTTCCCCAACCAGGGATAGAATACCGGGCCCCCTGCAGTGGAAGCGCAGAGTCTTAACCACTGGACCGCAGGGAAGTCCCTTGGCAAGTAGTTTCTGATTAGTCCTAGCCCATGTCTGCTAAGGTAGGGCAACATCTGCTTTCAAAAGGATGGCAAACTAGGAGCGTGCCCAATGCAGCCACCCCCCATCTGCCTCGTAGGAATGGTCTGGGGAAAGCTGGCTTGGTCAGCTCAGGAGAGTGTGAAGTCTGCAGGATTAGGGCTTACACATCTTCCCACAGGATGCCAATTACCTCTGCCAAGGGGAAAGTGCCTGCATCCTCAGCATCTTCAATTCTGGTTCCCTGTGTGGATCTTACTTTTAATGGCAGTACCTTCCAGACCACAAGGGACAAGGCTCCCTCCGAAAAATCTCGCCATTGGTGGAAGGATAATGGCCCTAAGGATCTAGTTCAGTAAACATGCTGTTCTTTTGTGATGCTCTTTCCAAATGAAGCTCACACTTTGGGATTAATTAAACTCTCTTCTAGCTGCCTGCCAGTGTAACCTTTCCTTTATGCTTCTTAGGGGGGCACACGATGTAAAAAGTCAAATCTATTATGTTCATGACTCGGAGGGAAAGGTCTGGGGCAAAATTACCTTACACACTGTGTTTTTTTTTTTTTTTTTAATGTCTGAAACATTTATATTAACATATTTCCATACAAATAACCCAAAGAAAGTTTAGTATTAGTTGTTTTTTTGGTTTGTTTGTTTTTTATTTTTTATTTTATTTTATGAGTATTGGATCAAATGTATGGCTCTCTGAGCTGTATGTTAGCTAAATAACAGATTCAACCCAGAAGAGTGATTTGGAATTAAAGACATAAAGATCACTGAGGACAGAGCGAACCCCCAATTTCTTAGTACACTTCAGGGGCGGGGGGGACATTAGAGACATATTTGAAAGTTGGGTGATGACTGTTGAAGCCTCATTCCCTGTTCTTGTTCCAATCTTGCTGTGATTTTGAGTGCATGACATTTAATTAATTTTGCAGTTAATTCTTTGGAGCCTTCCTTTTTTGACAGTGTCGCTAGGCTCTCTCAGCTGGTCAGTCATGACCCTCGCTGAGCCCACACAGGGTCATCTGGCTGCAGCAGGAGGCCGCGAGGAGCAGTGGTAGGTGTGGAGCCGAGATGAGATTTCAGCGCGAGGACGGTTTCCTGGAGGAAGCGTGGTCCAGAAGCTCCATCTCGGTGTCCCATGAGTACCTTTTAAAACTTCCCTTTCCCTGGCCTCAGTTCCAGGAGCTTTAAAAAAATGCTTGCATTTTCAAGAATTTTAAGAAACTTTGTATTGAAGTAACACACACACACACACACACACACACACACACACACAGTAACAAATAAAAAAGTAGAAAAGAGATAATGTTGGAACTCCCCAAAGTGACTTTAACTGTTCCTTGCTTTAATTCTTCTGGAGCTTTCTCTGCTGTTCTATGATAATACCTCTATTTTTTGATTTTTTCAATTATGGGCACCATCTTTTTTTTTTTTTTTTTTTTTGGCCTCTCCCGTTGCGGAGCACAGGCTCCTGATGCGCAGTCTCAGCGGCCATGGCTCACGGGCCCAGCCGCTCCGCAGCATGTGGGATCTTCCCGGACAAGGGCACGAACCTGTGTCCCCTGCATCGGCAGGCGGACTCTCAACCACTGCACCACCAGGGAAGCAGGCACTATCTTTTGACTCCCAAGTAGAAAGATAAAGATTTAGTTCACCTACCCCATCCTTTCCTCCTTGTCGTCGTCTCTCTTTCATTTTTATAACTGCTTTATTGAGCTAGAATTCACATACCATAAAATTCACCCTGTTAAAGTGTACAATTCAGTGGGTTTTGTATGTTCACAAAGTTGTGCAATGATGTCTAAACCCAGTGTGCATCATTCTCTAAATGCAGAGAATTTTCATCTCGCACAAGGAAGCCCCACACATGCTAGCAGTTGGTCCTTACGTACCCTCCTCCCAACCTTTAGCAACTACTAATTTCTTCACATCCCCATCAGCACTTGTTATCTGTGTTTTTTCTTACAGTCATTCTAGTGGATGTGAAATAGTTTCTGATTGTGGTTTTGATTTGCATTTCTCTAATTACTAATGATTTTGAGCATCTTTTCATGAGCTGATTGGTTATTTATAGATCTTCTTTGGAGAAATGTCTATTCAAGTCCTTTGTCTTTTTCAATTGGATTTCTTGTTTATTGTTGAGGTGTAAGAATACTTTATATATTCTGGAAACTAGATCCTCATCAGATATATAATTTGCAAATATTTTCTCACATTCTATGGGTTGTCCATTCTCTTTCTTTCTTTTTTTAATTACTTAATTAATTTATTTTTGACTGCGTTGAGTCTTCATTGTGGTGCACAGGCTTCTCAT